CCGGTCTTTAGTGCAGGTACACTTACAGATTGACTGTCAGACATTCCGCTACCAATTCCTACCTACAGTATGAGACCATCTCAGTCAGTTGGTCAGTCAGTCACTCACTCACTCACAGCGGAGAGCATTCATTCCGCTCCCCCACACCAGGCACTCCAACAAGGAGACGCCACCATTACCTATTCTCCTCTCTCTCTCCACGGAACAGACCACGAGGAGAAGCAGGGTCATTCAAAAGTATCTGGTACTTGCTCCAGGAGCTTGTTCCGAACTATTTTCAGCTTCCGAGGTTTGTTTTACCCACGGTCCTGGCACCCAGCCAAGATTTCGTTCGCCCTACCAAAGACCATAGACACACCACTCACCTTATGCTTTCCCATGCCAGCAACCGTACGTGACTGGCTGGGTGAATGGAGGGCTGGGCGAGTCACCCTCACCGCGTAGAGCGTTCTTCACACTGTCCATTGACTGGCCTGGGCCAGAGGTCAGAGGTACAAGCCTCGAAACAGATGTAAGACGATTGGTCCAGGAACGCCTTTTGGCCGAACACTGCCGATGGCGGCCATGGCCTAGCTTCTGCTTGCCTACTTGCTTCTTTATTCTTATGCTCTGCCGTGACCTCTTCTCTTTTTTTGCTTGTGACTCCTCCAAGATTGACTTTCTTTCTCCTCCTCTTCTACCTCTCCAAGCACCATCATCTCTTCCCTCGAACTCGTTGATCACTTGTCAATTGAGTTGTGAATAGCATCATTAGTCTGGTGCTACATTGTCTTGTTCCTGGCCTGCCAAATATCTAGGTATTCCTGTCCAACCTCGATTCCTACATACCCCTCCATCTCGAAGCATATCGTCGCCGAGAAATCTCCGCTACAAACCCTCACAATAGCGTCATCTTTCCCACAAGTCTAAAGCTACACGTTGCCCATCATGGCTGCCAGCAACATGGTCAACAACGCCGTGGACCCGAACATCGAGGATGACCTGTTCCAAAAGGAGGTTGAGCAAGTCAAGAAGTGGTGGAGCGAGCCGCGATGGAGACACACCAAGCGATCCTTCACCGCCGAGCAGATTGTCTCCAAGAGAGGCCACCTCAAGATTGAGTATCCGAGTAACGCCCAGTCCAAGAAGCTCTTTGAGATTCTCGAGAACCGCTTCAAGAACAAGGACGCCAGCTACACCTACGGCTGCTTGGAGCCCACAATGGTCACTCAGATGGCCAAGTACCTCGACACCGTCTACGTATCTGGATGGCAATCATCGTCAACGGCCTCGGCCTCGGACGAGCCCGGCCCGGATCTGGCAGACTACCCTTATGTGAGTTCTCTACCTTGTCAGCCACTGTCCAAGGAAATACCCATAGCTAACCTGCCTTGACAGACCACCGTTCCTAACAAGGTCGCCCACTTGTTCATGGCCCAGCTCTTCCACGACCGGAAACAACGACAGGAACGCCTGAGCGTCTCTAAGGAGGCTCGCGCCAAGCTCGCCAACATCGACTACCTGAGACCCATCATCGCCGACGCCGACACGGGCCACGGCGGTCTCACGGCCGTCATGAAGCTCACCAAGCTCTTCATCGAGAAGGGCGCCGCCGGCATCCACATTGAGGACCAGGCCCCCGGCACCAAGAAGTGCGGTCACATGGCCGGCAAGGTCCTCGTTCCCATCCAGGAGCACATCAACCGCCTCGTCGCCATCCGCGCCCAGGCCGACATCATGGGCTCCAACCTCGTCGCCGTCGCCCGCACCGACGCCGAGGCCGCCACCCTCCTCAGCACAAACATCGACCCCCGCGACCACGCCTTCATCCTCGGCTCCACGAACCCCAGCCTCCAGCCCCTCAACGACCTCATGATCGCCGCCGAGCTGGCCGGCAAGACGGGCGACCAGCTCCAGGTCATCGAGGACAACTGGCTGAAGCAGGCCAACCTCAAGCGCTTCGACGAGGCCGTCGTCGACGCCATCAAGGCCGCGCCTCTTTCCAACAAGGACGGCCTGATCCAAAAGTACACCGCCGCCGCCAAGGGCAAGAGCAACAACGAGGCGCGCGCCATCGCAAAGGGCATCCTCGGCGCCGACATCCACTTTGACTGGGACTCCCCGCGTACGCGCGAGGGTTACTACCGCCTCAAGGGCGGCTGCGACTGCGCCATCAACCGTGCCATCGCGTATGCCCCCTACTGCGATGCCATCTGGATGGAGAGCAAGCTGCCCGACTTCAAGCAGGCGCAGGAGTTCGCCAAGGGCGTCCACGCCGTCTGGCCCGAGCAAAAGTAAGTACACAAGTCCAGCCTCGGAAAGAAAGAATCCTCTTGGTAAATAGAAAAATTGGGTTTACTAACTTTTGGTCTTCTCCAGGCTCGCTTACAACCTCTCGCCCTCCTTCAACTGGAAGACGGCGATGCCCCGCGACGAGCAGGAGACGTACATCCGCCGCCTCGCGTCGCTCGGCTACTGCTGGCAGTTCATCACCCTGGCGGGCCTGCACACGACGGCGCTCATCAGCGACAAGTTCGCCAAGGCGTACAGCCAGCAGGGTATGCGCGCGTACGGCGAGCTCGTGCAGGAGCCCGAGATGGACTCGGGCGTCGACGTCGTCAAGCACCAAAAGTGGAGCGGCGCGACGTACGTCGACGAGCTGCAGAAGATGGTCACTGGCGGCATCAGCAGTACCGCTGCCATGGGTAAGGGCGTGACGGAGGATCAGTTCCACTGATTTTCGTTTGAACAGGGGGGTGATGGAGATATTGGGTTGTGGTGTATGTATGGGGGAAGAAGAAATGGATAGGAGGTATCTAAGATGCAAGGATGTTGTTTCTGTTGGATGGCAGGTGTACCTATTCAGAATGGGTTCAGGGTCGGTAGCACGTCTATGAATTGTTCGTTTTTAAGTCCATGATGTTGATTGTGGTGTGGTAATTGTTGGTGATGGGATGCAATAGCATCTACTCGGCAAGCGGTCCCCGGGCAGAAGCCGACTGGACCCACAACAGGGACCACCCAGCGGGCCAGCACCAGCCTGTCCTGCAAAGAGAGGCCCGTAAATTCCAGTCCCCACAGCTCCGACTCCGGAAGCCCGACATGACGGCATCCAATGGCACCAGATTGGCAAATCCGGGCCTCAACGGTTCCCACCTCGGTAGACGTTATTCTCCTTTCTCATTTGCTTTGCTACTTGTGATGAACTCCACGCAGCCCCCACCCAGGCTGTTGGATGTGGAAAATGTGGGTACGGAAACCGGTCCGTCCCCACACCAGCTTGTATCCCATCGGACCCTGCGCCGACGTTGATTGTTGAGATAAGTTGATAGGTATAACATGAGAGAGTCGCACGTCGTTGAAGAGCTCACTCATCTTGGAATAAAATCATCTTTGATTACTCTTCTAACTCTATCATTGTGAACTAGAGACAAAGAAGTGAGGAACTTCAGCTGGCGTTTCCCTAAATCTTCTCACAACCTTACTGCATCTCATCCACCATAAAAGCCACACATCTTACACAATGGCATCCAAAGACTCACCAATCCTCATCGTCGGCGCAGGCGTCTTCGGGCTCTCCCTCGCCTACGAACTGACAAAGAACCGCGGCTACTCCTCCGTCACAGTCCTAGACCGCTTCCTTCCGCCCGTCCCCGACGGCAGTTCCGTCGACGTCTCGCGCATCATCCGCACAGAGTACGCGGACCCCCACTACGCCGCCCTCGCCACGGACGCCTTGCACGGATGGCAGACGTCGGAGCTGTTCGGCCCGCACTACCACCAGTCCGGCTTCGTCATGATGGCCGACGAGCGGGAGGGGCCGAGCGCCTACTTTGACAAGTTCCGCAAGTGGGAGAGCGGCGGGAGGCCGACCAAGGAGTTTTATGCGCCGCCGCTGGTGGATGTAGAGGTGAAGAAGCGGTACAAGGGCGTGCAGGCTGACTTGAAGGATTTCACGGCCACGTTGAATGCTATTGGTGGGTGGGCTGATGCCGCGGGGGCGATTAGGGCGCTCGCGGGGCAGTGTACGCTTGCGGGCGTGTCGTTTGTCACGGGGCGGCACGGGACCGTCGTCTCGCTCGAGAGGTCTGGGAATAAGGTCACGGGCGTGAAGACGGCGGCGGGGACGACGCTGTCGGCGGACAAGATTGTTCTCGCGACGGGGGCGTGGACGAACCGCATCATCCCCGGCATGGGACACGCCATGTCGGCCTCGGGCCAGCCCGTGGGTTTCATCCAGCTTTCGGCCGAGGAGGCGGAGAGGGTGAAGGATATGCCCGTCATGATCAACATGAGCACGGGCGTGTTCTGCTTCCCGCCCACGCCCGGGACGAACTTGCTCAAGCTCGCGAGGCACGGGTGGGGATTCGCGACCGAGGTTGAGGTTGAGGAGGGCGGGGCGGGGAAGAGGACGATTTCGACGCCGCGGTTGAGGGAGAGTAATGCCGCGTCTGGGTATTTGCCGCAGGACGCGGACGAGGATTTGAGGGAGGGCGTGAGGTTGTTCTTCCCCGAGTTTGCGGAGAGAGAGTGGTGTTACAAGAGGATGTGCTGGTACACTGATACCCCTGAGGGAGACTTTATCGCGGACTACCACCCGGATTTCGAGGGCTTGTTCTTTGCGACTGGTGGTGCTGGACAGTGAGTAATTTTCTCTCCTTTGGGGTTAACCCCTGATTTGGTGTTGTTTGCTAATGTTGAGGAACCAGTGCTTTCAAGTTCCTTCCGGCCATTGGTCCGCAAGTCGCTGATAGCTTCGAGCGTAAGCCATCTACAGTGTTGCGAGAGAAGTGGAGGTTAAGAAGGCCCACCAGCAGCGAGCAGCCGTTTGGGTTCTCGGGAGATGGTAGCCGCGCTGGGCCGTTGCTGCGGAAGCTTTCGGTACAGGAGCAGTCCAAGTTATAAAACAAACGGCTCCCTTGTCTAGACTTGTCTAAAATCTTTATTCACGTCTGATTGATCTTGGAGTATAAGTCATAATTCATGCTAAAATCAAAGACTGTGCTCTCGATATCCATCTATTATTCATCATATAAGTCGACGCCTTCCGATTCGCTCAACCGAAAGCGAACTTCGTCGCCCGTGAATGCGCTAATTCGAAAAATAGGCGTCTCACCTTGACTGGTGCCTCCTTTGTTTTTCATCACCCACCGGTCGACTCTGTCCAAGTACTTGGGCAAACGTCCTGGCCTTGAAACTTGAAGGTAATTGACTTCAAGGAGAAAACGACGGGTTGGAAGATGGCCGCTTTGGAGAGCAAGATCTGCGGGCAGATTTCCATGTAGATCGCGCTTATCCTCCCTCGCCCCAGACTCGAAGAGAAGCTTCACGATGGACAAGTGTCCTCTCTGAGCCGCATGAGACAGAGCAGACTTCCCGTTGCTATCCGCCTCCTCCAGGCGGGCTCCCCATGCTATCAACGCGTCCACTACGTCCAGATGCCCGTTCTTAGCGGCTATCACCAACGGCGTTCCATCTGGCCCCGCAGCGTTCGGGTCCGCGCCATGCACCAAAAGAGCATTCACGACTGCTGAGAAGCCCTTCTCTGAAGCCACGTACAGTGAATTTCCTTGGTTGGCGTCGCCACCTTCGACTAAGAGATCAAGAAGACGGTCTTCGAAGTTACTGCTCGCCGCCGATAAGACCCTCATTGCTGGGTCCTCCCTCTTCGCGGCCATACTTTCCTTGAACTTGGTAAGAATGAGTTCTGTAGTTTTGCTTCCGCTGCTTGATGCGATTTCCAAAGCCGTCTTGCCCGAAGAGTCTGGGAGATTAGGATCGGCTCCTCTGTGTAAGAGGTTATCGACTATCTCTTCAAGGCCCTCTCCTCTAGCCGCCAACACAAGAGGCGTCCCATCAAGACTTTGAGCATTGGCATCCGCGCCATACCCCAAAAGCAAGCGAATAGCTTTCGCATCTCTGACTGCGATAGCCAACTCCAACGGTGTATGGCCTGCCGTCGTTCTTGCGTTTGGGTTGGCTCCGTACCCTAAAAGAACACTGGTGATACCCCATTCACCGGCTATAATAGCCTCGAATAAAGGCGTTTCGTCGTTAACGTTCGGGATATTCGGGTCCGCTCCGTGAGATAGCAGGAGACGCACAGTATTCTCGTGGCCTCGTTCAATAGCCAATCCCAGTGGCGTTTTGAGCCAAGAGTTGACTGCGTTGGGACTTATACTAGCCTTCAAAAGGGCGAAAACGATTTCGTGGTGCTCATTTTCCACCGCCGAGCACATTAAATTCTCCTGATTACCCTGCAGATCTTCGTTCGCGTGAAACTTGAGTAGAGTCTCGACGACGTGTACATGACCATAGCGGACGGCCGTGTGAAGAATTTGGCCCAGCTTCAATCCAACTGCCATCTGGCAATGGGAAAGACTTCTCCCTATCGCTATAGGAATATTGGTGACCATGAAATGTAGGAGCTGTTCAAGAATGACTGTGTTGCCACTTATCGAGGCTAGGAAAATCAATCTAGCTTTGGACTCATCTCGCAAGAAGTCATGATCTTTTGCAACCTCAGGGAGGATCTCGATCACGATTTGTTGGAATGAAAACAGCACCGACAGGTGAAGATTGACCCATTTCTCCGGAGCTGGCTCTCCAAGACTTACTTCGTTGGCCGTTAGAGCTTGATAGGCCGCTTGTGACTTGGCCTCGCTCGCAAATAACCGCATGACAGTCTTGTAAATTCTGCTGGCCTTGAACCTTCTGGGATCTTTAAGGCGCATGAAGGCAGTGACTGCGTTTCTTCCCCAATGAAGAGCTGCGTATTCATAGAAAGGATGCGACTGTAGGCGCATCTTGTATTCGGACAGTGTCGAGCATGCTCCACTTTCGAACGCGTCAAGCGAAAGATATTTGCAGCACAGCTCTGCCTGTTCACGGGCGACGTTCAAAAACCATTTTTCCTGGTTTTCGAGGAAGTGTTTGAGGCCTGTGCTGTGAAAAAAGCGGATAGTATCCTTCTCGTCTACTATAAGGAGCCCGGCGCAGGATGATATGATGCTATCCAGAGATGGTTGAGACGATTTGTTAATAGGCCGAATATTGTCCATGAATGCAAACATAGCCTGAGCTTCCGTCGTTGTAATCGCTCTCATAGAAAGGGCGACCCAACCTAGGAGTTTCACGGCCAGCTCTGGGTGTTGAGAACGCACAACTCTATCCACTTGCCTTGCGTAGAAGTGGTTCAGTGGATCTGCATCCCATCTATCCCACGTGGAGTCCGTCATGCTCTGTAGGTGGAGGTAAAAGGTTGCGAAGAGAAACCTATAGCTGTGAGACTCTAAACTAAAGTTTCAGTCAGAATTGTCAAACACTTACACTCCTTCGGAATATCGGACTACTTGGCGATCAACGTGCGCAATGGCCGATGGTGTTAGTGGACGGAATGGCGAGTTTCCTTCACGAACCCATAAAAGTATGTCGTCGGCCTTGCTGTCGAATGCGACAATTGGCCAACCTTCCATGTCTCTTAACATGTGCGGAATCGTTCTTGAGGTTGTCAAGACGCCAACTCCCTGGTCATTGAGTTTCTTTAGTGATCGCAAAAGGGACATGCGTGTGTGATCTTGGAGTTGGTCGAGTCCGTCGACAATGATGTGCACCCTTTCGAATTCAGCCACAACATCTTTGAGGGCTTCTAGTATCTCCTGATGGCTCGGCGAGTCTTTTCTCTTTTGCCGCAATGGGAGGGATCCCGCAGGCCGGCTCGTAATACTCCGACTTAACTGTTTCAGCAGGCTAAGTAGAAGGGCCTCTTCCGTATCCGCCGTAGATTCGCCGTAACAAATGAGTGTGGCGACTCCAAGTTGGACGGTGTTCGCAAGAGAGTGGGCGACAACTGAGGCTAGGACTGATTTTCCTACGCCGGGGACACCATGAATGAAAAGCAGATGCCCCTTTTCAGATGACCAAAGTTTAAAATCGGCCGAGGCTAAGAACCAAGCCAAAGTGCCAGGGTGCCATAGCCTAAAGAAGACATCCCTTGAAGCCTCATAGTCGTCGAACCTGGACGAATCGAAATACCAGGTATCTGAATCCGACTCTCTTTCGATGTTTCCAGGCGTGTCCAAAGACGGGGCACCGCCAGGCCCTGTTTTATCACTCAAACCCACTTGACCACTTGTATGAGACTCCACCAAATCCTCGTACGAGAAATCCAGACCAGCGGATCTCAGAGAATCGGCAGATAGATCGCCAATAGTGGCACCAGAATTCGTCCCAAGAGAATCTCCTTCGGGTTTCTCTCCAGCACTTCTCGATATGGCGAAAGTAGCAAGTTCTTCCATATGAAATGCCATATGGTTGATCAGGTCTTTCTTGAAGGGCCCGAATGACAAGCAAAACGGGCAAGCTTTTCGTTCATCATCTCTGCTGACAACAGAGAGTTCTGAGATACTTTGAATCTGAGCCACGCCCAGGTCGCAGTGAAAGCTCTCTAAATGTGCTGTCAATGAGTCCTGCGAACTAAACTGCATGCCATGTTCGAAGCAACGCCAAATGCGGCGGTGGGCTTGTGATTCATGCTCCGTCCATGACGCTCGATTTATGAACATGACGTCTGCATCGGCACAATCAATATAAGTACACATGTACGGCTGAAGATCATGGCGAATGTGTTCTCTATGGAAAGTTAGCCGGCAGAACGCCCTTCGCAGAGGGGAAACACCTACCTCCAACGCTTGCCTTTGGCTTCTTTGGAAGGGCAAAGCACATGGCAGTACGGACAGAGAAACTCGTGCTGTCCTGTGATTATGGAAGGAGGGGGTGGAAGTCTACTCGTGCTTCCACCAATGTCGAGTGCTGTTGAGGCATATGACACAGTCGACACCGTGTCGTGTTCGTCCATGTTCTCTTCGTATCTTGTTGCGTCCGTTTCTGATACCAAAGGAGGCCCCACAGAGTTCTCCGCTCTTTGAATCTGGGAAGCAGAACCTTGTACTTCTGAGGGGCGTTGAACATAGGTTTGCTTAGTGGCAAGGATGAATGGTCTCAGGGGAACGTGCTTATCCTCTGCCCTCTCAGGCGGCGCTGCTCTAGATAATTTGAAAGCATGTCTTTTCCAGTAGGAGAAAAAGCGCCGTCGATTAGTAATGGACTTGCTCCAACGATCTATCAGCTGCTGGTCTAAATGATCATGGTAATGCCCCGACTCTCCAAGACGATGTGAGACGCGGAAAGCTGATCTGGGATCCATCTCAATGGTGTATTTTCGGAATTGCCGGAACATCTCCTCGACGTGGAGCCGGTCAAAGTCGGAGTACGCCATCAAAAGATCGCCAGTACTTGTATCGTTGATACAGATTGATAATTTATGGTTGAAGGCCTTGTGTTGAAGCTGTGCCGTCCTACTCAGAGGCTGTCTGATCTTGAAGGAAGCCTTCATTAGAGACGACAGGATTTGACTTGTCTCGGTTGCGTTTTGCCCCAGCTCAGTCCGGTTACTGAAAACTCTGTCGGTGTTTTCGCTGCTTGAACTATCACTATCGCTGAAGTCTTCCAAAGCTTCGCCTAAATCTTGCGCCAAAGCTTCCTCTAACGGTAATCTGGATCCCTGTACAATCTCACTGCCTAGAAATGCCAATCAGGATAGTTGCTTAAAAGACGAGATGATGGATACTTGTAAAAGCAGACAGGAAACGTTGGGACAGCTCACTTTTTGATAGCACAAGTCTGAGTTCGTTCAAAAACTTTAACAGTGTGGATTTCATGAGAGAAGAATCCATCAAGCGGAAGTCTAGTGATGCTCGTCCATGGTGAAGGGCTCCAAGATTTGCTGCCCAGAGTTTGAAACGATCGTACTGGTTTTTGAGGGCGAGAGGAGATATCTGCTTTCGAAACTTCTCCTCGGCATGTTCCATATTGAACACTAGAACATGGAAGGATTCTATGACCGATCGTGTCGCTTCCATCAAGGGTGCAGGCGGCTGAAAAGACATTTCTGCGAAATTGATCAGGCTTGGTCAAGCTCGAATGAGTAGCCCTGATGGTTTCCTCTCTTGTTTGGCGTGTCTACATGAATCCTGCTCCTCGAAGTGAGCCAGAGGTATCGAAAGACTTGACAGTATTCTACTCTTCAACGTTGTCGCCTGGAATTGGCGATAGAGATGCCAAAGTAAATCCTCAGTTCGGTGATTCGACGCCATACAGTATGTTGGCATTTTCTAGATATGAGTGCTGGATAAGAGTTGCTCACATCTTCTGACATTCCGACTTCCTCATCTGTTATATTGAGGACTAAGAGTCTCTAACGGCATTCTGGAAGCGGACTGCGAGACATTGTGGCACGACTACCTAGTTGTCTGATGTGTCTAGTCGCAGACTCACATGATTGAGTGCAATGAACTAGAAGAGGGGTAAGGAAGTGCATCTTGGGTAGGATACTGTCTCACAACCCCTCCTTTCCAAGGTCCAATTATGAATCTAGCTGCGAGGATCCCAGGGCTGCGACCGTGACCAATCTAAGCCAGGCTTCTTGTCTACTCATGCAGGCTGACTGGACATGCAGAGAACATGCAGCGAAAAGTAATGGGTGGCCATGTTTGCTCAACATCTCAATCTTTGCAAGCTCCTGAGATCACTACCCGTAGAACACAGGAGACAGGAGGCATTTGTGCATCATCAGAAACATTAGAATGGCAGAGGTTGCCGGTCTCGTCCTCGGGGCTGTGCCTCTCGTAATTTCAGCCTTGGAGCATTACGAAGACATCATCGAGCCCGCAAAAGCATTCTTCCAGTGGAAAGGCCAGCTCTCGCAGATGATTCGAAAGCTTTACATGGAGCATACCCTATTCGAGATGAATCTGGAGTTATTACTCAGGAGAACAGTAATAAATGACGACCTCTTAGAAATGGTCGCAGATCCCCAGAATGAGCTTTGGAAGTCGAAGGAGCTCGTTGCCGACTTGAAAAGGGACCTGGGCAAGGCTTACAATCCGTCAATGGATACTGTCACAGAGATGGCTTCAATCATGGTAGCCATAGCCGCCAATCTGAACATCAAAGGGTCAGACAAAGTTCGGCTACTCACCCTCTATTGATGTACTAGTTTCTTCCGGACTGATGCAACAATATAGGTGACCAACGAAGGATTGGAGGCAATAGTCTATGCGAACATACCAAGGCCAGATCCAGCTGACCGACGGAGAAGATTCGAATTCAAGGAGCGAATAGCCTTCACAATGAAACGGCGCGCTGTCAATGAAAAGTTGGACCAGCTCAAGAGCTGCAACGAGAGACTCGCAGTTTTCCTGGAGAAAGCCGAAAAGATTCACTCTAGTACTCACGACGGGGACGAAAGTCTGAAGGCACGAATACAATTCGTCGCACCCTTACCCAGCATTCGGGCCAACGCGTCAAGAGTTCACGAGGGCCTCCACAAGAGGTGGTGTGCAGATCATGACTGCCACCAGGCAGGGCTGCTTCTTGAGCAACGACTGATCAGAAAAAAGAGGAGGAACCGCCGTGGTGCGCTCAGTGATGTGGGGAAAAGGGACCGTTTTGGTGTCTCGCTTTGGCGGGTCACAGTGATGGCTTGGCTCGATACCGAATTCCAGGTTGATGACGATGCTGTAGCTATCTCGAGGTATTCGGCACACCCACCTCAAAGTTCCCTCAGACATACGGAGACTGACGCTATTCACAGTTCGCATAATACTCCGAAAGTCAAATTCTCTGTTGCGGATATTGCACATGGCTTAAATGAAGCTCTAAGGTCCAACGCGGCCGAGATTCAAGATATATGTATGGCCATGGAAGAGGTCTTGCATCCCAATGCCGGCTTTGCTATCGACTCAGCGAATGTCATGCGACGGATGTATGATGTGAAGTCTCAGGAATGCCACCTTATCGACAACCATATGACTCTGAGCCAGTATCTTCCAACGATGAAGCGCAAGGAGTATGTTTTGGCAGACTTCTACTGCTTGGCTATAACACTTGTTTCATCTCTTCTGCAACTTGGCGAAACCACATGGCTTCATCAAGCTTGGAACGGAGAGAATATTGCATTCATACGCTCTCATCAAGAAGACAACTTGACGATAGATATAAAACACCCCTACTTGACATGCTTATACACCTCAGGTAAGATCATCCATCCTGAGAGCTGCAGCGGGCACATGCTTCATATCAACCCCTATAGCTATGATGAGCTAACACAGCACAAAAGATACACCTGCCTCGGCGGCAGCGCCATATGAACCATCACCGGATCGCAAGAACATGCTCGCTCTTGCCGTAATGCTACTTGAGATGAACTGCGGGAAGCCAATTGTAGATCTCAGACAGCCAGAAGATTTGGGCCCAAATGGCGAGGTGAACGTGGGAACCGATTTATCTACGGCAAGGAGGTGGCTTGACACGCAGGTGCGGCTCGGAAACCTGTCCAACGGCTTTACGAGTGCAATAACGTACTGTCTGCAAAGCTACCTTGATCCCACAGCATCCCTCGAAGATAACCATTTCCTACAATCTGTTCAGAATCGCGTGCTGGAGCCTCTTGAGCGGGAGATGCAACTTTTGTTATGGGGAGCGAATGTTTGAGGGAGTTGTGGGGTAAGATAGCAACTCGTGCATCATGAAAGAATAAAACATAGAGGGACAACTTCTTAGTAGAGACATCTTTCTCATATTACCAAACAATACACCGGATGGTTTACCTCCACCAGGCGCTGTCTGTTGACTTCAAGGCTCAACTGAAGTGCCGAAAATCTTCCCCAATACATATACGTGGGTTTCATGACATTCACATAGTGAACTTATTTCTTCGAAAGAGTTTACTCATTTTTTTGTCAAAGCTTCGTGCGTTAAGAAAGTATCTATTTACACAAGTCCAAGGTCCTTCTCAACCATACCACGGCAAATGGGGTGGTAAAAGTCCCTGTTCTTCTCAAACGTCTTGAGCGCAAGTTGCCTGTCAACCTTGTTAAGCGACCGGAACAGCGGCCTCACAAACTTCATGCGACCGACGTGACCCAACAGCTCCGCGGCGCCCTGATACGCAGACGAGTCCTCGGCAGCGAGCGCAATCTTGTAGTACGCCGTCTTGAGCTCGGCGTTGCGCGACGAGACGAGGTCGTACACTGTGCCGAGCAGCTTTGCGCGGTCAGCGGACAAAGGAGACGGGAACTTCTCGATCGTCTCGAGGAGGACAAGCTTCTGGTTCCCGGAAAAGGAGGCCACGTCCTCGGCGGAGGGCTTGAAGGACTCGTCCTTCCAGTTTTCGGCCAGCTTGTAGCACACGTCGGCCAGGGTGGTATCGAAGACGGGCTTGGGCGGAAGACCGGGTTGGTAGAACCACGTGTCCCAGTCGATGGAGGCGACCTTGTTCTTAATTTCCTCGTCGCCGAGGCCGTTGAAGAAGGTGAGGAAGGTGTCCTTGAACTCGAACGAGTCGAGGGACTTGCGGGACCACTTTGTAAAGTAGTGGGGAATGAACTTGTCGAAGGCGTCCATGCCGACGAGACGCTCGAGGTAGTAAAGGAAATGGAAGCCCTTCTCGTAGGGGACGGTGCTGAAGGCGTCATCGGGGTCGATGCCCTTGTGGTTGATGATGAGCTTGGTGAACTCCGAGTCGGCGCCGTTGAGAGCAACAGCGTCCTCAAGGGCCTTCCAGCCAATGATGGCGGAGAAGTCGCGCTCAGCATCACCATGGACAGCCATACCGATGCGACGCTCAAGATACGTGGTCCAACCCTCATTCAGCCAGCTATATCACATCGTCAGCTACTCCTTTATCACAATGACAACATATCGAAATCCGACTTACAAGTGCTCCCAACTGCAGCTAGTCACCAAGTTACCACTCCACGAGTGACTCAGCTCGTGTGCAATAACGTCAACATTCTGCTTGTCACCGCTGATGATGGTCGGCGTAGCAAACGTGTAAATCGGGTTCTCCATACCACCGTAGGGGAAACTCGGCGGCAGAACAAGAACGTTGTACTGACCCCACCGGTAAGGAAAGACAAGCTTCTCGGCAACCTCCATGAACTTCTCCATGTCGTTCTGCAGCTCCCACTGCGACTCCTTGAGCTCATCAGGTCCCGTGGCAACGATACTCCGCGGTCCGATAGGCGCCGTGGCGATATCACCCGAGGCCAGAGCGAACAGGTACGACGGGATAGGCACCTTCTGCTCGAACCGGTAGACCGTGTTGTCACCCTTCTTCTCATCCTTACCGGAGCCCTCAACGAGGACACCGCTAGCGACGACAGGCAGAGGCGAGGCGAGGACGAAGCTGTACGTCGACTTGACGTCCGGTGTGTCCTGGCAGGGAAATAGCGAGCGGGCGTGAATGGCCTGGCACTGGGAGAACATGTACGGGTGCTTCTTGTTGCTCGTCTGCGCGGGCGTGAGCCACTGCAGGGCGGTGCACTTGTCCGTGGTAGCGAGGTCGACGTCGACCTTGACCACCTCGCCCTTGGCGGCGCCCTGGGGCACAAAGACGTGCAGAGGGGCGCCGTACGGCTCCACGCGGTCCTTGAGCTCCCATGTCGAGGTGGCGGCGTTGACCTTGACGCCTGAGATGGAGAGGAAGCTCGAGTCGAGGATGATCTCCTTGCTCTGGCTGTCCGTCAGGGACTCGAGCTCGAGGGTGACGGAGCCCTTGAGAGACTTGTCCTTGAAGTCGATCGTCAGGTTGGCGGTGGTGTGCTTGGTCAGCCACGCGCCATAGTTTGACAGGGTGTTTGGGTCTCTGTTGGTCGAGGTGGTGGACGCCATCTTTGCAGTAGTGCCGAAGGCGGCTGCGCGGCTCTGAGGGCTCGTGAGGCGGGTGAAGCTTGTTCTGATAGGAATTGAACCCTTTGCAAGAAGGGATCGCCACATGTGTGTAAAAACTTGCTGACTTTGCGGAGCTCCAGTTCTCCAGAAATTTGATGTCCTTCAACTCCTCCTCTCGTGATGTTGTTGGTAGCACTTGCCACATTCGGACTAAGGTAGAGGGGTAGCTTCAGCCACACGTGGGACATGAAGTTCAGCCACAGACGGTTAGTTCGGCAACGGGGCAAGCCACATACCTCCCGCCACACTTTATCTGGATCTGTCATGGAAGCCACGAGTGCTACCTTGGAGAGGGCGACTGTTTCTATCCAGCCCCCACCTCACGTTTGTTTCACCAGGTGGTAAACCCTCGTAAAGTAGTCTTCAGCATTCATCCCAAACGTCCCAAAGATGCAAGAACTAGACAGGCCAGGCGGACGATTGCTTGCCATCTCTCTCCTTCTACAGAGTACGAAGTGCCCTTCTCAATCGATCAAATGCCGTGGCTTGAGCACGACATCTAACGGCGCCATCGAGATGGCCATCCCTCATCACTCAAGATGAGATCCAACACCCACATCAAAGGCCGGACCATCGGCTCTCCTGGAAGCCTTGGCTATCACACTTGTCTCTTAAACTCCAGGCACTCCAGGCACACCGAAAACTCAACCGTCGATAAGCTCACGCGAGCCTAGCACGGGGTATCTTCCGTATCAATCTCTCTCTCTCTTGGAAGTCTTCGAACTCCACACGAACCTGCAAAGCTGCAGACCCCAGCCAGAACGGAGCTGAACGAGTGAACCACGACCAAGACCAACATCCTGAAACGGCGCTGCCTTTCCCCGGGGATGGGATCTCCCTGCGTGACGTATCCGTACCTGGGAGAGAATCTCTGGGCCGTCTTCGCACTCCGGGATACGGGGATTGCCCAAGCCGTTCCTTGTGCCTGCTCGCCGCCATCCCGACTTATCTTTTCCCTCTCCGCCCTGGCCCCTGGAGGCTTGTCCTGCGTTTCTGTTCCCCAAGCCACCCGTCACCGTCCACCCCTTTCTTTTTCGGTGCTGCCGCATGAGATCATACACTCCCACATACCTTCGTACAACACTGAGAGAGGGTTTGTCGACAATGGCCTGGAACAAGAAAACTTCTCTCCGTCCTTTCCGGGGTGAGAAACCGGACGAAAAGTCTCCTTCTCGCCCACCCGGCTCAGACCTCGAGACCTGGACCTGGAAGTCGATAACCCCCTTACTGCGTAAACAGTATCCGTAGATACCTCGACAAGCAGTTCGTTCCATGTTCCGTGTGGCCGATCTCCCTTCTCACGAGGGGTTTCGGAATTCACAATCAAACAAACTGCTCTCAGCGGAGGGTTTTCTTCCACGTGCGTGCATCAGGGGAGAAAAGAGTGAGAGATAGAGGATAGAAAGGCAGGGCTCCAATAGCCGATGATGATGCTGCTGGGAACAATCCGACAATGGTCACGACTCCAGGAGGGCTTCGTGTCCTCCTGAAGCTGGAGCACGACGCGTCAGAAATACAGCCAGCCGTCGTTTGAATGTGGCCGTTGCTCCCCGATTCAGTTTCCTCCTCGCGATGCAAGAGGTCGTTTCTGCTCATGGTGTCGTGGCAGCAGACCTTCTCACCTCCCCTTTCCCGTTCCCGTCAACACCCTCCTTTTCGTATTCCACCCGGCCCGATCTTTGTATCCGTAGACCCCTTCCCGCATCTGGGCTGCATCTGCATCTGTCTGCATCCGCATCTAAGACAAGAAAAACTGACACAAAGTTCTTCGTGACTGCAGAATCTGAGATGGTGGCGGGTCTGCAGCCTCACCTTCTTTCTCTCTTTTTTTCGGCCTCCTGCCTGTTTCCGCTTCCACCTCGTGAACAAGGTGGCCCAACCGCTCATTCCCCATTCGCCTGGACCGGTTCGCACTTCTCACTCCTACTGCGTACTGTGGCACAAAAAAGGCGTTCCCAACGAGGTATCGCAAGAGGACAGGGGTCGGAACCGTGGAAGGGGTTGCTCTGCATCCGCGGCCGTGGCTACTGCCCCTCGCGGTCACACCGGCGGCGCGGCATGGCGTGAGTTGTGGATACCAAGAGGTTCCAAACCCAGCTCCGGGGGTTGGCAGACTCGAGGAAGAGAGTGGGAGAGAGTCAAGGGCTCCTCCTCCCTCCGGCTAAAATGGGTGGATGCGAGATATGTGACAAGACCTGCATCGTGACGGTTGCCACGGGTATGCCTATCGTTAGGCGAGAAAAAATCCCACTGAGAAAGCCCACAGGTAGAGGCCGCCGCCCAGCAAAAACACCACCTAGACCAGTCTCGTAGTGTACTTTGTGCGAATACGGATACCCAGGTGACAGTCGTTACGTATCCGGGTATAATCGCTTGAAGCCTCCCAATACGTAAAGGTAGATACTGCCCGTCATTTCTCTTTTGCAATATCGCTTCTTGCGACTAAGGAGAAATAAAAGATCCATCCTCGTACTGGGCGAACATCTTCAAGGGCGATAAACTTTCCCGAGTGGAAAGCTTAGTATAGCAAAGGATATTGAATATTCTGCATCTTGAGACCCCTCCCCGAAGGAAAACAGACCGCCAAGCTTGCGGATACCAAACGGCCTCTCAATCTCAATCGCAGAGATCCATGCCTCCATCACCAATAACGGATCCGTCTTATTCATTTCCTCAGGGCCCTCGGAGCTTGAGCCTTGGAGGGGGGAGCTGGGAGCCGTGGGAGCTTGTCCGGCCACCCTTACCCCACACTTGATGGGGGCGCGCTGTCACCCTGTCACAACAGGAACCCACATTCTTCTGGAAGCCCGTGTCCAACCGGAGTCCAAATAGCCAGCAGGGGTCTCGCTCGTTTCTTCGGTGGAAGGGGGAGGGGGGAAAGGGGATGGTTGGAGATTGAAAGGGGCTGCAGCAGTTCTTCGTTATAGCGCTATATGTGGCGTTGCCTATGATAAGATGCGAGCTATCGCGCTGGGAATATCCGTACAGTTTGTGTAATATTTGCCGATATTTGTCTGGGCTTCCTCCGGCCGGGGGGGGGGGGGGGAGAGCCTGAGAGGTTTGTGAAAGTTCAGCCTGGGATGGGTCGGGCTGTGCAAGAACAGGTGCGCTTCCCTCGTGCCGTCGTGAAACAGCCCGAATGTATGGCTACGGGCTTTTAGACAATGCAGTATTTGGTCACGGTTGTTGACGAACAGGAGATGACCTCGTTCCTGGAAGACGGGAACGATTGTCTCGCTAGCCCAGGCTGGTGCAATGGGCGTTGTTTGGCCTGGGCCCCTGGGCTTGTAAGCTCTGACAAACGAATGCTTGGAAACTCACTGAGCAGCAAGTAGGCAAGGCAGTGCAGGGGTGAGGCCATGAAGGTTCGCTGAATGCTGATTCTATCAAGGCCTAGAGGCTGGACTGCTGAACTGCTGGAGGGCATGCTCTAACCTGTGAGTCTGTGAGTCTGTCGCAAGCAGTGATAAGAGCCACGAACAGGGTGTGAAATGCAAAGTGATGCCGTTTTGGAGGGCCAGATTCCGCAGCGAAGGACTTCGGCCACGGAGGATGCGCCGGAGGATGGGCACCTTTCGAGTATGGACGCTTCCTCCCCGACTTGATCTGGCCCTCTCTGTCTACCACGTTGGAGGGATCGCGGTTTCGCACCACTGCAGGTGCGTCGTGACCTTGCCCTTGAAGCTTCATGGACCAGCAGCAACCGCGGAGCGCACCCGTTGAAGCCAAGACCGGGAAAAGGGGGGCCAGTCTGCCAGTGTCGGCCTGCCCCTCCCAGCCTAGCTCATCTTCATACATATTGGTGGTAGTGGTGCGGCGTGGCCGAGCTGTGACTGGATAAGGGCCCCCCCAGATCACGCTGGATAGCGTTTTCCCAAGCAAGAGGGACGCTAACAATTCAAGCTTAGCAGGGAGCGTTGCCGGAAGCCAGGCTCAACGCGTGGCTTTTCTCACTCTTCCTCTTTTTCTTTGCGTTGGGGCCCGAGGGGAGGGATTGAGCATCGGTCTTGCTCCGAAGCGGGGGTGGCCGGCCGAGTTCGCCAAGAGAGGGGCCAGGAGGACGGTGCTTCTTGCAAACCTCTCTAGAGACCGCCAGAGACCGGATCGGTGCCGAATGACCGAATACCGGATATGAAAGTGTGGGAATACTGCCCGAAAGGTTAGCCTTGATCCTGCGCCGGGAGGGCTCGGTCTGGCACCGAGAGCCATTGCGAGAGGGCCGTATGCGTGGTAGAGATGTCTAGAAGGCTTACACTGCTCGTCGGAAGAGGCCCGTGTTTGAGCGTTGCGTGCTCTGTCAACTCATGATGATGGCACGCATACTGCTACTGCAAGCCGCGGTCTGTTTGTGCGTTGCCGTAGATTGCAGCAATGCAATGTAAGTGAGAGCCTTGGTAGGACAAGGGCCGGGGGAGCACAAGTCCGATCGCGTTTTCCGCGCTAAGAATTAATTGAGGGGCACCGACAAGATCTTGACATGACAGCCTGGGAACGTTGGCCAAACTTTAACCTCGGGTTAGTTTAAGGCAGCGAGAGAGAGGAGGGAGAGTGTGGGCGAGTCCATGGTATCCGTAGCTTGAGGATTGAAGGGTCTCGCCTGACGTCTATTCCCTTCATCTCCACTAGCCTCTGACAGTACTACAACTCCCACAGCGTGTCATGGTGATTGCAAAGCGATGAATCTAATGGTAAATCGACATTCCTGTCATGGCTGTCGTCTATCGAATGCAATGCCTCTGCAAAATCAGCTTGTCTTACGGGTTACGAAGTCGTTGCGGTGTTATTAGTTGACAAAGAGAAAGGGCCTGTCAACCATGTGGCTCCGGCATTTGCGCTGCTGTAATCGTCGGAGAAAATTGGAAACTTGGATGGGATTGACTGCTGATCTCTCCCGAATATGCCCGTTGACATGCAGGTCCCGAGACGGGTGCCAAAGTCAAAAAATATACGACGAAATAATACTCCGCATGTTGATCCCTTTTGTCATGGGCCACCCGCATCCATGTCGGGACCTCTCAGGAAATCTCCTCAACTCTTCAACGTGTGGTAATCTCGCCAGGTTAGCATCTCTAGTCCGAGACTGCGGCCTACCAGGGACAAAGTTGTAGGGTTGGCTAGCCGCTCAAATCTGCGCCCAATTGCAGTTTTGTCAAGGGGTTTGCCACGTTTTGCAAGTTGAGTCTTGACTCTTGTGCCATAGAGTGATGCTTCGCCCTCCACCTTTCGTGACAGTGTTTCTAGGGGTCGCATCCCCCGGCTTCGCAATTGCCCCCCCCTCAAGCAGCTCATGAATACTACCTTCATGTGTTGGTAGCCTGGGTCTCGGGGCCTCGAGGTGACGCCGTTCGGGGGTAGATACTCAACATTAGTCGTTCCCCCATCGTTAGCCTTGCCTCTATCCAGACGCCTTGAACCGTAACTACGGTTGTGTGGCTTCGCTTCTGACGGGGATGAGATCGGCCTCCTTCCCCGTATCGTAGCTGTTATAGAGAGATTATCCGCACTTGTGATTTCCTTGCCACTGACGAATAATAGGTTGCAGATGACTACCAGGTCAAGTTTCCTGGATGAAACGCTGTTTCGACCCCGCACTTGAAGCAGGCGAAGGCGTGTCTGCCACCTACTACTCGAGCCTCGGAAACGCTAGAATAGAACCTCTCTTTAGGGGACAATGATGCTTGCAATACCACGATCAGACATACTGTCAACCAGAAAAGTGGCAGGTCCTATGTGATATGACGATTCGCTCTTGCGTCGGAGGCTTGACCGCTGCCTATTACAGGAACCTGGTGGAAGCGAGAATTGGCAGAGGACTCGCCCATGGTCCATGATTGCTTGGTAGTTTGGTCTAAACAGTTCGCCACAGAGTTGACGCGTCTTCGAAGTTCTGTAAACTGTCTATGATGTGAGCGAATCCACATCCTCCTTTTGTTGCAAGGTTGCAACCTAGTGGCGTATCAGTCAGCGTGCGAATAGGGGCATAGTGTTGTCAACGTGTCACACGGTCCATCGTTGAGATCAACTGGGGAAGAAACCAGGCTTGATCGAGCCAGAAAGTCGTTGAGAGGGCTTTGGTATAGACCTCTCTCTATGTGGGATGTGTGCAAACAGCCGTATCCCGAGACTGTTGTAAAGCGAGTTTCGAGGGAGTTGTAAGCGATGTGAGGCAATGGCGCTAACCATGGGTCTGCGACGAACCAGACTCTAGTGCCTGCCATTACTATGTGTATTATAAGCTTGGTATGCCAGGAATATCGGAACGATGGCAGGTTGTCTCAATGTCAGATCCTTACTTTGCTTGGTGTAGCTAGGTCCCGTGAAGGAAGATGCCTGCTGTTGTGTCCGTACTGTGTTGTTCCTCAAGAGCGTGGGGGCTTTCAGTGCCTGAGATTACAATGATTGCTGCCCATACTCGCAATGATGGCGCCCTACTATCCCCTCACTCGAGGTGCCACCACCTTATCTCCACTGAGGTTGTTTAGAAAGCTTGTTTCCGGCATATGAAGTTGCTTCCTGGTAGATGGATGCCGGCTAACAAGATCAGAGGTCGTCTCATCATCGTCAACGGTCTGCGGCCGGACATGATAGCGACCTGGACAGGACGACACAAGTGAACCTCGACACATCTGAACGCGTATATCGAAGGCTGTATGGGCGGCGTTGATTTCTCAGGAATAAGCTACACATAAGCCTGCTGCTGTGGTTTCGGTCCTCATTGACGTGATGCGGCACTTGGAAGTTTGCAGAGTTATCGGCACTTGGTCGGTGGAGAATGACTGACCCAGACAACGCGAGATAAGATGGAAGAGTGGATGGTGCAGTTAGCTAGCTGGATCCAGATAGCGAGAGGATAGACGGCATTGTTCAGCGTCAGTGTTTCACTGGGCGAAACCCTCAGTTTGCTCAATACAGCGCCAGCTCAGCAGATCTCACAAGATCTTCGAGGCCCGGGCCACGAGTTCTTCCTGTCAGTTGTTGACGTAACTCTAAAAACCCTCAATTTTGGCCGACCGCTGCGCGCCAACACAGTATCCATTCGCAGTGCAACATCTGTATCATGGCGTTGTGGTTCATTTTCTTGTCTGTTGCCGCTGTTCCGCTGAGGATTTGCCTCGTGGTCCCATGACTATGAGAATGGTGAGTTCCGAGTGCGAACTCCTGAGAGTACCGCAGTCATCTCCACCATGCATCATTTCTCTATGAATTTTCGTGACTCGTTTGCAGCATAAGCGATGTGAAAAATGCGACGTCGTTGCAGAGATGGTCCTAAGTGCGGGGTGTAAAAAGTCGCCCCAGTCCGTGTGAATGTGACGACGCTGGAGCATCGCAGCGCGCCAGCACGGTCATGAACCAGGTTGTAGCCGGCCGATCTCAACGCGGATGCGTCCGCGCACACTGACCACCAGACCTGGCTATCTCTGGCCCTAATGAAGGCGGAAATCCCAAATCAGGTGAAATATTGATGGTTTCGTGTCAAGTATGCCGATGATGTGTCCTAGCCGCGATTGTCTTTATGAGCCGAGCTTTCGAGATGAAATATTGGTCTCTCTCGTCAAGTTGTCGGATATGAGGTTCCTCAACTAGGCGAATATATTCTACTGAGGCCCGTCTTACAATACAACGGTGCGATATTGACATCACTCAGGATCCACGACCCCGGCGCTCTGCTCGTTGCAAAACGGTAAACCCAGTCGATTTCGATATTGTCCTGCCACCGCTCTACGGAGTACACGTGCGAGGTGAGTAAAGCCCCCCTGCATTAATGAACGGCTGGAGCCTTGATATCTCGGGGAGCCAGTGTCGAGATGGGTCGTCGACAGGGGAGCTTCGTTGGGAGGTAGAGAGGCCAGGGGCCCTAGCAATTGCTCAGGATAGGGGAGTGGCTAGGGGCGGAGATCAACCTATTTCAGACATGTATGCTGCACCTTCAAGGATACCTGGTTCCACCCAGGTTCTCATCAGTCCCACCGAAGGATGGGAGCCTGAGGAGGTCTCGACAAGTTGATCTTCGTCTCAAGATGGACGAGTGTTTGTGTCCCGTATCCGTACTCCGTACCTCCATTCACCGTCGTCCAAGGTGCAGTGAGTTGCTGTACAATGAGAATAACCATGAACATCTCCGTGGTGGCCTCTCTTCTCCCAATTTCGTGACATCGCTGATCATAGTCTGAGATATTCCAAAAAACAGACGGTGCTGTGCAAAACCATTAGAGTGTGAACCCCACGCCTCATAGTGCAAGCTGCTTTCTTATTCCAATTCTTCAAAGACGTCTCAGTTCCGTGTAAGCCGCCTCGTGCATAAGTTATTGGCAAGTTGAAGAAACCCCGCGTTGTTCGGATAGGCGCCGATGCCCGTCAGCACACGGTCGTCAAATTGCGTTAGAGTGCTATGGCTTGAGTCAAGTTTGACCTCACTTAACTCCTCATACTCTCATATGCTCCATCATACCTATCCGCGCCGCAGAAACTGACGTTCGGGCCACTGAGAGGAGACAGAGACGTGGAAACCAGGTTGATCTTAATGGCAAGGTCGCTGTTGGGCTCGTGGAAGATGAACCAGGGGTCCCTTACCTCGGGAGCGAAGTCCGGCCAACGTGGTTACCTAGACTTCCTGGTCGATATTCGTAAAGTGAAAAATATTTGGTACTCCGTCAGTCCGTACGGACAAACGTGTAAGGATCGGTAGGTTCGAACGCTTTCAAGGGCTGCTCGGACAACACCAAGACTCTAGCTACTAGCGGTGTGATCATTGTTGAAGGCGTTCAAGACACCCATGCGAACTCATGACCGGAGCCGAGATTCGCAGCCTATTTTTCACGGAGATTGCGGCTGGGTCGAGACGGCTCGGAGCGCTTCAGACTCAAGTGCGCAGGATGCACGGTAGTATTCGTCAATTGCGGGCACGTCGTCCGCACGTTGCTCTGGTCCAGGATGAATATAGAATGGGCTAGTGGTCGATCCATCAGCCTTCGCCATAAGCAACGATGAAGTGAATAAAACGCTTTGACAATTGTGACCGGCTCAGCTGTCATTTTGAGCATGGCGTATTTTTTCTAGGTCCTGTTGTTTCCGCCCCTAAGAACGAAGAGGAGGGGAAAGGGGAGTCATAGCGAAAAACGGCAATTGGGGTTGGCTGTGTTTGACAGACCGGGAGGATCCTAGGCAGCTCAGCGATCCAAAGGCGCCGTTGTTTCCTTGAGCAGTATTGGTGATACGATTAACGTCAAGAACGTGGAGACGGGAACAAGTGCTGGGCCGCTCATAGTGCTGGACCAAAAAAAGCTTGGCGACTGGAATCCGGCGAGCGTTCCGAGCGGGAGTCGTAGGTAAATTAAGGTGAAACCAACTTCCGATGGTGAGGTAGGAGCTGTGGGATACAACCGATGACTAGACGAATGGACCCGTTGACCCAGAGCCATAGGTATGCAATGTTGCTTCAACGGATGGAGAGCTGTGTTTAACGCTGCCCACGTCGATGACGCTGGGCTGGCGGATTCGTGACACTCGTTGGCATGTCGCCATGCAAGTGACAGAAGTCTAAGCAGCCGAGAATCGAAGCCACCGGGCGCAATCTAGAAAGACTTGAGACCGTCTGTCGTGCCCTAAGGACAAACTTTAAGCCATTGGTGCTGAAGGGTCTATTCTTTCGAAGGGTTTGTCCACGGCCTGTGTCGATGTCAAAGCTCGAAGCCCCAACGTCAATCTCTTGTTAGTGCCATCGGGACCGAAGGCTTAGTTTGACTCGCCGCTTCCCGAGTCTCCGAGTGAACAGGCTTTGACCTAGTACAGCACTAAACGCTCTCCTGTTGATGAAGCCATAATTATAAGTGGACTTCCGCCTCGTCGTTGATGAAGTCGAACATACTGGCTACTTTAGCTGTCGGATTTACCACTGTCCATTGCGAAGCGATAAATTCAGATTTTGGATGGACCGCAGAGGATGATACCTGAAGTTTCGGTACCATTACGTCGTCGATGGTAGCTCTCTCGATATGCTTGTTTGGTCGTCCAATCCTCTTCGTCCGTTGGGGTCATCATTCATGCGACTTCATGCAAAGCCTCCCCGCTGTGTGCCTGTGCGAGTTTGACATTCGGCCAATACCGTAAATTCTCCGACTCATATCATTGGATTGCCAGGGCATCCCCTCCCGACTAAAGCGGATGCATCCTGGCAAGTTCTTTCCAATCGCTGCGAGCTTGAATACCGAGACGGTCCAGATCAGCCAGCGAATCGCAGCTGATGGCGAATGATGTGAGGCCTTCACGCAGGCTCTTTAGCTGATGCGCTCTTCGCCTAGCTGAAATTGGGAATGCCAGAGCGTCCACTTGTAGTCCACGTGTGATTATTGCTGGACAAAGTCAGTGTCAAACATGAGAAGTAGCTCGATGCAACGGTGCCGAAAGATCAGTCTAGAGACGCCATCTATCCTCAATCGTAAGGGTGGCTGGAAACGTACTTGATGGCATGAATCTTTTCTCTGCTGTTCTCGCGCTTACACGAAGCTAGAAACAAGAATGGCATTAAGGCGATAGCGTTCGTTGGCTCGCGGCTCGATCAGCAAGCAAGTTTCGTTCTTCCGCGGGTGGTGACATCGGCTGCGGTGAGAGGGACGTGCGACCCAAAGAATGGCGCAGCGCTTGATGCGTGCTGCGATGCAGCGAGAAAGAGGCTGTGATCAAGAGAGCGAGGTAGGCGCGAGTGCAATAGGATGGACCGGTCGAAGCATGATGTGGTAGCAGATGTCCGAAATGTTTTGCTTAAACGGCCGTTCGTCACCTGAGGGAGACGACGGCGTGACTTCTCACCATGGTAGCAGAATGAGACAGTA